TTGGTTACTTAAGTACTCACTCAAATTCCTATTACTTCCCCCTTCTGCTTGTACTCTCAGGAGCGATAATTTAATCTATTTATTAGTGTTAAATACTACTACACAGGAATAAAGCAAACTTGATAATTAATCAAACAACTGTCTCAGGGTAATAAAACAGGATTAATTAACAAGAACGAAAACTTAAACTGAACACTAGGTCGCAAGACGAAGAAGTTTAATTATTTGAAAACACAGAAGTTACTACACTCAGCCGCAATTTGTGTTGAAACAGTTTATAAATGTGGAGCTGAGCCGGCTGATGTTGCTTTGCTCATTGGCCGGAGCTAGCGTCTCCATCCGGCTGGCCTCCAAAACCGTCCCTTTCGAGTCATACCAGGTAAATGCGAAAAGCGGGGGATCCTTTTGTGCGTAGCGCGACACACCGGTGCGGACTAACAGCGCCTAGAAGGGAAGAGAACTGGAATGGCCCGTAGCGCAGCATCGTACCGGGAAGCTTCAGTTGGAGTAAACTATAATGGCGAGAAGGAGAATTATTCAGAACCTTACAAGGTTATACAATAATAAAGCAGTATATTTACAAAAAGAAGGATCACGTGTATCACAAGAAGGATCACTTTGTTTTTCTTTTATAAGGTTCACGGACCCTATTCGCCTCACTTGAGCTCCTTTCACAAATATATATATTTTTTTTGATAGAGGAAGGGGTATATAAGAGAAAAAGGGGAGTGCATGCTAATGCTGTGCAAAAGGAGACGAGGAAGAAAAACGCAAAAAAAAGGAGAGAAAAAGGAAAGGGGAATGATACTAAGGCAGTAAAAAGAATAAAAGGAGTAAAAGGGGAAAGTAATAGAAACTTAAGTAAGTAGTAAATAATCATACGCTAAGTTACGGTAACTACAGTCCTCTAGAATTTGTGCGTTCTCGTATGATAATAAGCGGCTAAATTATATCTTAAAAGAAAATGGAAGGAAAAGAAAAAGGTTTCCCATAGGGACGTACAGAAATGAGTTACAACAAATATTTCCTCAGTTTACAGATTCTGTCGGTAGTCGCGACAAAATTTTATTGGTCGAACCAACCGGGCTCGAACCAGCGACCTAATAATGATTGAAATGTCTTTAGCTTTAGGTGACGCTGATTATTGTGAAATCGAGGTAAGATTTGCTGATTTGGAGACATCGAAACCGGAGAAATCAGTAGTGTTCACTAGATACTCCAAAAGATGGGGCTCTTTGACTAAGGGAGGACTTGATGTTGATTATTCTTATTCAGCTGATATACCGGTAATCGAAGTGTTGCTGTCGCGGTCATCAAACCGACTAAAACAACTAAAAAACTCACAATTTGATGCACGTTACGCCCAAATTTGAAAACGGTCTTGGTTGTATGGTACGATATACTCCAAATCATTGTGCTGAAGGATTGACTGCTTTGTGTGAGATGTAATTAATAGGATAACTTCTCAAGAAACGACCCACAGTGTTTGGACGAGCATCTTGTAACAACGATTTGATGCCAGCAAAATGTTGCTTGATTTTAACAGATATCTCGCCACAATTATTCATAATGTCATTTGAGATCCTACTGCGAGTTGTTTCCAAATAATTCGGCGTTCCATCCTCTTGACATCTACTGTATACCTCTTGTTTCCAAACTTGTTCGTATTTTGCAACATCAGTAAAAGCTTGTTCGGCTGACTTCATTCCAACACCCAAATGATATGCAATATATACTGCAATTACCAGAATTGTTTCGGATGCATCACAGTTTACAAAACGAGCACTGCGTGAAAGTAACTTAGCGTTAAGAACTCTTATTACATGACGCCATAGAAATAAATCCGGGTTTGCAGATGCAGAGTATGGTAACCGTGGAACAATCTCCAACTCTCGCATGTAAGAAAATTATGAATCAACTTTATCCATTTCTTGTTGTTCGGAATTATAGAGTAAATGTTTAGAACTCAACCCAATCTGTGGTAACAGTGTAAAGCATCCTTCAATACAGCTATAATTTGTTCCAGTTGCTTATACAAGAAGGAATGTACTACAACGGCGTGCATCTTAATATCAAAGTCTCTGCATAATGCATCAAGTTCTGGGTTTTTTACTTGTTGTAGTCGGATTGATGACCGCGACAGCAACACTTGGATTACCGATATATCAGTTGGATAAGCATAATTAACATCAAGTCCTCTCCGAGTTTAAAAGCTCCATCTTTTGGAGTGTCTAGTAAACACTAATGGTTTCTCTCGTTTCTTTGTCTTCAAATCAGCACAACTTACCTCAGTTTTACAATATTCAGCGTCACTTAAAGCTGAAGACATTTTGATTCTTAGGTCGCTGGTTCGAGTCCGACTGGTCGGACAAAATTTTGTCGCGGCTACCGACAGAATCTGTAATCTGAGGAAATATTTGTTGTAACTTTCTTCTGTACGCCTCTATGGGGAACCTTTTTCTTTTGCTTTCATTTTCTTTTAAGATATAATTTAGCCGCTTATTATCTTACGAGAACGCACAACTTCTAGAGGACTTTAGT